AAAGAGAAGAGTTCTAAAAACATGCTGAATTATGGAAAATTATATATCAGTGTTTGAAAAGGCTAGATTCAGCTGATATGACAAACTATGCCTAGGTCAATGGAACATCATTACATCATTATTTGGTCAAATGTCAATGAGATAGAACACTCAATTTGTCTTTGTCAAAAGTTAAAGATGGACCACTTGATTTATCTTAAATGTTGGTTAGGAAGGCCGAACTAAAGATAGTGGTGATGACAACTTTTTGTTTAAAAATTTTTTTTATCATAAATAGTTGTGCCTTTGACTTTTCTTTAGTCACTTACATTAGTCAAAGGATCTAGGTGTTAGAGACAAACGTGACACTTCCTTCAAGGCCTACTAAACTTGTCTCGTTTACTCAACAAATATTTAATTTATTCTACAAATATTTATTTTGAGCATTTACTAGACAAGACAATATGCTAGTTGTTCTGGGGATACAAAGATGAGTCAGATATGAGTTATTAAAGCCCTCAAGGGTCTTATAAACTAAGAGACTAGCAAAAACAGGCATAGATTGACAAGATTACAAAGAAATGTATATGTGCCATAACTAATGCGCTGATAAAAAGTTATACAAACTCCTAGTGGAACACATTTTACTGTATTATAACTCTGAATTTACAATTCTGTCTCCGTTTGAAGAATGGATTTTATCTTTTATATATCTGCAGAGACAGACATCATAGACTTTCAACAAATGTATAATAAAAGAGTCAATGGTTGAACAAATGAAACTAAAGACTCTGCGATTTAGTTTTCAAAATAGTGCTGCTATAGAATCTCTTTCATTTGCATATTTTTTTAGGAAACAATTATTTTCTTGAAGCAAAGGACCATGTCATGTCTCATTGTAAATTCTATATAGAACCTGGTTGGCACAGTTAATGCAAAATAAATATTTTCTGAATAAAATGACTTATTCAGAAAAGACACTTTAACAATCCATAACAGATAAACAACTCCAATGTTTTCCTTTAAACTCACAGACTTATATGCAAAAAATAATGTATTTTTGTGTATGTAAATTTACCTCAATAAACTTAAAAAATAGCTAATACTGTATTGCATACTTGAAATTTGCTAAGAGGTGCATTGTAAATTCTCAAGGAAGGAAGGAAGGAAGGAAGGAAGGGAGGGAAAGAAAAGGAAAGAAAGAAAAAGAAAGAGAGAGAGAGAGAAAGAAAGAAAGAAAGAAAGAAAGAAAGAAGAAGAAGAAAGAAGAAGAAAGAAAGAGGAAGGAAGGAGGAGGAAGGAAGGAAAGGAAGGAAGGAGGAAATAAAAGAAAGAAATGAAAGAGAGAGAAGAAAGAAACAAGAAAGAGAGAAAGAAAAAGAAGAAAAGAAAGAAAGAAAGAAACCGAAAGAAAGAAAGAAAGAAAGAAAGAAGAAAGAAGAAGAAAAGAAAGAAAGAAAGAAAGAAGAGAAAGAAACTAGCTGAGTGTAGGGGTCACACACCTGTAATCACAGCACTTTGAGAGGAGTCCGAGCGGGAGGATCAATGATGGTCGCAGGAGTTCGAGACGAAAGAATGAAGAAACATGGAGAAAGACCATCTATATTGAAATAAAAAGTAGGCTGGGCGTGAAGGTGGCAGAATGAATGTAATAACGCGTACTCAGAGAGGATGAGGGAGAGAACTCGCTTGAAAACCAGGAGAGGAGAAAGGTTGAGG